GGGGGGGGGGGGGGGGGGGGGGGGGGGGGGTCTTCACATAATGTATGCTCTATGGAGACTTGGTGTAGAATTTATAGTAAGCCCTATTTTTTAATAATATATTTTTCTTCAAACTCATTTTGAACTACATAAAAAAATAATATTATACTCAAGCCTAAAAATTTTTCCTACTTTTGATCACACATTCTCTAAAAATTCATTATTTCAAAATCTATTTTTACCAAATAATAGGGATCAAGTCCCCAAGTAGCATCACCTCATTGGAAAAGAGTGGGCCACCCAATAATGTGGTAGCTCTTCATTCAACGATCGCACCACGTAAGACAATGCAACCGTTTCACCGAAGTTTTATCCTCAGACAAGGGTTAAGATTTGGAGGTGTCTATCTACTGGTTAGGTTCTTGTTTTGGAAGTATATGCTAACATGACTTGGGATTTTTTATTTGAAAGGGTGACTGTTGAATCTTGATTGTGTACTTTGTGGTGACCAATTTTGGAACATGACTTGGGGGTGTTCATGTGCCCTAGGAAATGGAAGTGTTTGATGACAATTTCAGGCAATATATAAACTGCGTCCAGGCAATTTTTGGGAGTAAACCTATTTGGCCGAAGATTAGTGATAGGACATCATGCATTAAAAAGAATATCCAATCTGTTAGTTGCATTTATATATTGTTTGCACCACTTTAGAAAGGGAAATAAATTATTTGTATATATGTTTGGCAACTAAAAGATTGGGTTGCATTTACATTTGAATAACTTTTCACAAAATTCTTTCATTTTTAAGGGTCAAAACCAATTTGCTTCATCTTGTTGTTTTATCTATACATGCATGCTCCACTTTATCTACTGGGATAGAGCTTCACTCTGTAATTAAATCGTGTTTATTACAATTTAGTTGTCTAATTATGCAAAAACTTTACATAAAATGCACGTAACTAAAATCCTCATTTTTGGTACATATTGTTGTAACATAAATTAAGTTTCAAACTTTCAAAATTAAAACTCATTAGTTTTTAATTTTCAAATTTAATTTCAAAATTAAAACTCATAATTTCATAATGTAACTTATATTTTAATTGGGATGTTTCTCATTATTGTGGGAGATAAGTTTAAAAAGGGAGTCAATTTAATAGTTTGATACAACAATTTCAGATATTATTCTCTCTACAATTTTATACTATATTATTTTGACAACTCAATGAGAGGTTTGTTCATTTATCTCCCTATAGTCGTGCACATAGAAGGAGAACCAGCTGTGAGTAACATGGATTTTATCTTGGAGCCATGTAATGTCGAAAATACCCACACGAATGGGAGACAATACGATTTTAGAATAGCATCCTTGATGTGACTTCCTAAAGCTTACATTTCTAGCTCTTTCTCTTTCTTATCTTTATATTATTGTTGAATTACGTTTATGTTATGTAATTGCTTATGTTAATTGATAAATATCTACACACAAATCACCCAATTTTTTCGAACAATCTAAAGTCATGTTGCCGTGATTTGTATGTAGACAATTATTGTTGTGATCTTCAAAGTGTAGGAAATATATCTTGTGTATGGATGCCGAAGTGATTAGAGAAAAAAAAAATGGGTTCCCAATTGCCGTCCTATTCTGTAAGTAATTTTTTTTTTCAATTTTGAAACATGAATTTAAATACAAAACTCAAAAAATATGGACTTGTTGTCCCAATTAATTTTACTTTCTGCTTAGTGTGACAGTGAAAATGATCCGTTTATTGCTCTCATTAAGTGATCTAGAAAAGTGAATTAAGGGTTGATTTTGTTTTACCATAATAGAAATAATGATTAAAAAATAGCTATGATGGATTTGCAAATTTATTTGGTAATTTCTGTATATATTGTTGTATAGTGTACATTATTGGGGTTGATGATGACCTTGTTATAATGAACATTATTTGTATCCACAAAACAATGATTGGTGTGGACTTGAATTTTGAAATATTTGGAGATCAAAATGTTCAAGTTTCTATCCTTGATGGTTATTGCATTTTAACCGGCAAAATTGCATTATCCCTAGATTTTCATATTGTGGAAAAAAGTTATTATTTTGTGCATAATTTATGCCTACAGGTATAACATCATATAATTCTTCAAAAATGCAAACCGGGCAACTTGTATCCCTACAACACCTTCACAACTTGTATCCCTACAATACCTTAGATGATTTTAGGTGTCTTCATTTGCTCATGGAATGTTCTAAGTTTTTAAAGATAAAACTAAGAATCCGTTTGATTGCAAGAGTGGAATTTGGATGGAAAGAAAACAAATTTCAACGAATTGAATTGTTTAGAACTTGTTTTAATGGAAATTGTTAATTAAATGTGCTGAATTGGCATAATTTTTCACCTGAAAATGTTTAAATTTTAGATCTTTTGGTGTTCATTTGATTTTATTTTTCATGAATATTGTCGATTAAAGGGATATAATTTGTTCTTATTGCTGGAAAAAAAAAAGCTATAAAAGCCATTTTCCCACTAAAACCCAAAGAAAACCCAATTCCTTAAAATCATGGAAAAGCCGGTCACGTGAAGGGGTTGGAGGAATTGTAATTCCATGGAAAAGTTTGCTATCGAGCACTCAATTTTGGTGGAAAATCCATGGAAAACTCAAGTTATCAAACAGGCCCTAATTGTAAATTAAAGGGAAGAAGTGATCTAATTAGATGAGTTAGAAGCATCCATTGTGGGACATTAGTCTTGGTGCTTCTTTTTTTATTTTCTGCAGCCACAAATTTCTTTTTCCCTACTTTCTTTATGGCTTGAATTCTATTAGTGTACTATCAGTTTCTTAATTGCATCTTCGAAAAATTCCTTGATGCAATTGTCAAGGTGACTTATAATTAGGGATGAAATTTTTTTGCATCCACAATCAAATTATCTAGCTCATATACTAAATTGGTCTAATGATTTTAATATGACATTCTTCCAACCTTTCTTTTTGCATTGGCTCTAATTTTTAATGTGAATGGTTATATGGTAGAAGTAAGACAGATTCTTGTGAACCATACTAGTATTTTGTCATGCATGTGAACTGGTTGGATTAGATTACATCAGAATCCTATGATTTTATTTTAGAAAAAAGGTTAAAAGATCTAACCATCAATAATGCACTTAGTTGGTATTTTAAAAGAGGTTTAAATGTAATTCCTGTGAATAATAATAAT